AACACAGCCTAATTTTTATTTTTGGGTGAACTAACCCTTTAATACCAATTTCAAAATAGGTTTTTACAAATAATTACATAAACAGGCAGTAATTAGGAAACAAAGAAAATATTTGTTTGATCACGGTTTCATTTACATTAACAACATTAACTGAAGTAGCATCAGGCTGCATTTACACATCGCACAGACTAGACACATTTATCAGTAATTATAGTAATGATTTCTGAAGGGTCATGTGACACTGAAGTAATGGCTGCTGAAAATTCAGCTTTTCCATCATTACTTAAAATATATTAAACTAGAAAACTGTTTTAAAATACATTTTACGACATGACTGTTTTTACTACATTTTTGATCAATGAAATTAAATGCAGCCTTGGTGAGCATAACCGACTTGGTTTAAAAGAAATATATTTTTTAATACTACATGTACTTTAGCAAAAACATACCCAAGTTCAGGCAGGCCAGTGTGTTTGTACACTTCCATTCCTTCTCATGCGTGGCCACCTTCACATCATCCATCACCAAAGGAACCCAGCCACCAAAAACATACATTCTACAGACAAAACAGATGAAGGTATTAAAGGTCAGTAATGCCATTGTGCACATTTAGGGAATGCCTGTGGTGATGCAATTCTAGATTACACTGAAACTCACTTGTTTGTAATAGTGGTGGCTGAGTGGAGGCTACGGGGGAGGGGAGCTGTGCCGCTTATTGCTGGCTTGTTCCAGGTCAGTGTATCTGAAAAGCAAAGAATGGCCTAATTATTGCTTAACCTAATTGACTGGTTGAATTAATGACCAATGTCTGACAAGCACCACATTAAAAACAGAGATAACCTTCATACCAATATCTAACGTCCAAAGATCTCCCAAACGGCAACCACTCATTCCTCCGTATATAACAAGACGGGACTTCTTAGTAGCTTTTTCAGTATAAACTACAGCAGTGTGGCTCTCTCTTGGAGGAGGCAGTACACCGTATGTGACCGGTATATCCCAGCCCACAACGCTGGAGCCCGGACGCAGCTCGAGGGTATAAAGGTCATTCAAATATCTGGAAGCACACATAAATGAGTCTAGGAACCAAATAGTATAAATATATTTATTTACTGACCACATTATTATATGATAGGAATACCTGGGAATGTTGTTCTTGGGGTCTTCACTGTCATTGGCAA